TTTCAAGCTGAATGTGTCATGCCATCAGACATCTGCAAGAAACAGTAAACTATGCACCCAGACAGGCATGTATGTCTACATGCTCAACTAACCACAATTAAGAATCTATATGAATTGTTTCAATGAAGAAATAGAATTATTAGTAAACACAGAGAAAAAAGAAAAGGAAAACAGAAAAGAATCAGTACCATGAATCAAATACTTCAAATTCAATATGTTCTAATCAAATTTATTCCCTTAACTGTAAATAGATGGTGCACCTCTCCAAATGTGTTATGAACGAATTATTCATATAACAACTCATCCCACATCGAATATGCACCTATCATTGCCGACCAAGTGTACAAATCCTGTGCAGCAATTCATCAAACACCTTATGTGCATCAAAATCCACATTTCGCATATATGCTTGTTAGCTTCGTATAAACACATACGAACATGGAGCTCACGACCCACTTCAATAGAATCAACATCTAAGAAAGTTGAAGCAAATTGCTATACGCTTGGGTGCTTACCTTAGACCCAATTTTAGACATTCCATCAATGGCTATTATGGCTTGTCGGAGGAGCCCATTGCTGCAATGTTAACTCAAATGGTCGTGTCATTGAACTTTGTAGTAATTTTCTGGGTGAAAGATACTGAATTTTTACTTGGTTTTGAGGAGAATTTAAGGGTTGGAAACTTTTTTTTTTTTTTTTTTTTTTTTTTTTTTTTTTTGGAATAAATGTGCTTTTCAAAAAATACCCATCTAATTTTGTAATTATTTTCAAAGAAACTTTTCGATGAGTATAAATATTAAACATTTGAGAGCTAAATATCTATAATTTAAATAATTTTAAAAAAACTAACCACCACCGATACTATTATTATTGTTTGAACGTTTAAATAAATCAACGACCTATTAGACACAAAATTAAAAGTTTAAAAAAATTTCTTAAATTTTGTTAACCTTCTATTATCGAGCACAAAATTAAAAGTTTGAAGACCAAATAAACATAAATATGAAAAATAAACATCCTAATTTTTACACAAATGTATAAATCAGCCAATAATCAGCCAGCAGCAGTAACCCTTTAGTATCTTTTTTTTCACTATTTTATGCTCCAAAATAAAATAAAAAATAAAAAATAAAAAAAAAATTGAAGCGTGCATAAAATAAATATAAAACTTTAGAAGTTGAGCACCATATTTTAGGAAGGGTTTTTTTTTTTTTTTTTTTTTTTTTTTTTTTTTATAATGATTTGAGTTGAAATTGATTCCAGACCGAATAAAGTAAGGGCCAAATTTATCTGGTCCAAAAATAAAGAGACATTTTTAAAAAAGAAAAAATAATAAAAGAATCAAGGAATGATTTATCTTGAATTGATGGAAATTATAGTTAGATTCTAAATTGAATTTGACCAATCAACCCATCCTTACCTCTTAATTTATCTTTTATTGTTTTGGTCGCTCCATACTTTATGCTTCAAATTAATTCCTCTCTTTATTCTTTTAATTAATTACAAAAACTTTACATTCCAATATATATATATATATATCTTTTTGATCCTCGGGGTGTAATTTTAATTAATCTATCGATTTCAAAATATAATATTTTAAAGTAAAATTACAAAATTATTCAATAAAACATGAGACCAGCATTATGCCCAAAAAAAAAAAAACATATATATATATATATAAACTAAAGCGAACCACCACATCAAACCAAAAGCTAAAAAATTCATTCTTTAGGGAATTATGATTATTATTATTATTATTTATTTTCTTTTGACGACGACTAGAGAAGGGAAAAACTTGCAGGATATGAAGCCCCTTTCCATATGCGCTGATGTGCTTCTATCGAGGCCACACAGCCACCCTGTTCTTCAGTAAACCATAGATTAAAAATCAACTAATGATATTCGTAGAACGTCTACATTCAATTTCGTGTTTATAAAGTCCTTAACATAAGAGATAGACATGGAATTAAAAGTTTCAAAGTTCAAACATGTATTAGACATGAACGGAATTCAAGTGTATGTTGACGATTCTTCTCATAGGAAACAATTCTTCTTAGTTACTATGAGAATAAGCTGAAACAACATCATCCATGGAGAATTAGATAAGAAATAGAGTCAAGATCTTACGGAAGCCTGCTGGTAGAATGTGTAAATCATGAGACTTGAGAATTCAACAAAAATTCCAGCCCCATTTATTCCACATTGAAACCTGCAAGTTCTAGATAACAAGAACCAGAATCATCTTTCAGAGTTCTGCATATAATCCAACTTCTTTTAGGGAAAACAAAACCGTGGAGATCATAGACACAACGTATGAAATTGACAAGAAGATCAAACTCGAAAACAGAAGCATCATTGCACCATACTAATCAACGAGGCCACATCCTCCAAGCTGATTGTGTCTAAGCAGTAGAAGAAGTAGTAGCAGCAGTTGGAGTCTTGAGCTCTTCTATTTTTTTCAACAGCGCCGATTTATCAGCACCAACAATCTTGTGAACTGTTTCCCCTCGTTTCATGAAAACAAATGTCGGCATTGCATTGATCTCCCACTCGGTAGCAACAGTCTGCAGAGAGAAACAGAAGCCTTTGTTTGATCAATCAAAAAGAAAACAGCTCCACTGCATGCTACAGTAATCAGCAATATCGCGATGGAACAGAAATGTTGACATATGATATCATAGATTGAGAAGAGTTAAAAGAGATTCAATATATTTACGTTCAATTCATCGACGTCCACTTTCAGGAAAACGACACCGGGATGATTCTTAGCCAATTCTGAGAAATATGGAGCAATTGTACGGCATGGCCCGCACCAGGAAGCAGTAAAATCCACAACAATCTATCAAACAAAACTTAAGAATCATCAGGAACAAAAAAACAGACACAAACTGTAATACAGAATCACTCAAGTTCGGTCAACGCAAAATAGAATAATCAACAATTTCTTACCAAAAAGAACGAAAAAAGTAACAGAGAATGATTAAAGAATAACACAAATCAAAAGATTCCACAAAACGTTATAAAGGAAAACTCGAAAGCATCAATTTCAACACGATCATTCAATCGAGATAAATCGAATATTACTACTAGCGTAAGAGAGATCAGAAACCCTAACGAATCCATCGCGACTTTTACCAAAACATCAAACGATCTCCTAACAAGCAATCATAAACGTGAAATGCTTCAATACACATAATATCCAGTAAATCCAAAATCCGATCGAAATCAATTGAAATCTAGAAATGAGGAGCCTTAAAAACAAAAACAACAATACGATACCAGTTTTCCAGATTCCTTCGCTTTCGCTAAATGAGCATCCCACTCAGCTTTCTTATGGCATGCGATCACTTGCCCTTCTTCAGCCATTGGAATACACAGAAATCGCTTTCCTGCGAAAAGTCTTATCCGTATAAGAAAACTGCAGCGATGGAGGGAGACGGCGACGGGCAGGTATTTATATAGCGAGCAGTGGGCAGTAAGTACCCTTCGCCTTTCTTTCGGTTCGGGTAGAAAAATAAGAATATGTATGCCTCAAAGAAAATCGCAATTTTTAGGTTAAAATAGCATTTAGTTTTAATTGTTTATTTATGGTTATTTTAAATAAATAAATAACTAAAAACTATTTACATTATATATTTTCTTAAATAAATATAAATATGATTATTTCGTAACACTTAATCGCATAATTTTTTATATATAATTAATATTAAATTAAATTACAAGGAAGGTTTTTTAAAAATTCAAATATAAAAAAATGAAAAATAATATTAAAATGAAATATATTATCGTTTTTCTCAACCATACAATAGAAAAAATGAAAATAATAAATAAATAAATAAATAAACTAGAACTTGGAAAGGACAAGGAATTGGATTCTCCGCTGTGGCCCATAATGCGAGTACTTCGGCCCATTATTTTCTAATATGTGGGCTCCTGAGGTGCAAATTCGGCCCACAAAGTTGGGCCCATTAACTAGCAATAAAATATAATTAAAAAGAAAAAAAAAACAAGGGAAAAAAGAGAGAAAAATCCCGTCCACTAGGAAAAAGAAGATTCTGGAATTTCTCAATTTTTCTTTTTCTTTTTCCATTTCTATATTATTAATATTTTAAAACGATTAATTGGAATTTTGTCAATTTTTCTTTTTCTTTTTCTATATTATTAATATTTAAAACGATTAATTGAAAATCGAGAGAATAAAACATAATAAGTAAAAACCAGATAAACGTATAAATGATAAATTTTTTAACGTACCCATGTGTCTAGATCAGTTATTCACACACGAATATGAAGCTTCTAGGTTTCCCTTTTAACAAATTTTACATAATGCAACGCACGAGAATTAAGAGACAACTAAGATTGATATACAAATAATTCTCGAGTCAAGAAAACATAAGAACTATCTTCTACGAACACAATTAAATGTCAAGGAACCAGCCAAAATATAACCTACGAGTATTTCGAAACATTATCGAAATAAAACTATAGCATTTCTAGCTAAAACCGAGCCATAATAGAATATTTAGACATCTTTTAAAGATCAAACTTGTATTATTTGAACAAAACCAATTATTCATTAGTATTTTACTTAGTTTAATTCAATCATATTAATATATACTCAGTGGTCTTGAAATCAGAAGTTCAAATCTTCATATTCCTCCAACTTCAGATCTTCATATTCCATTCCTCGCACTAGCTAATTAAAATAATATAAATAATTGAAGAAACGAATAGGGAAAAGCCAAGATGTATGGTCATGGATATAGCAGGGGTAACACAAAGATGCTTAGGAATATCCTATTCCAATACCCCATTTTGTGAACTTTATTCTCATTCCCATATGAACATAGGGCCCCAAAATCCTTACCCAACCTAAGTAAGCATAAAGAACAACATTGGAGAGCCAAGAACAAAATTGACAAAGTTGACAAATTCAACCAATCATAAAACTTAAAACCCTTTTCAGAATCAAGACATTTCTAAACATGAGAGAAAAAAGGTGAAAAAGTAAGCTGTTCTTAAGTAATCTGTGAACATTGAGGCAACGATCACTGAATTCAAAAGCTTGATGAGCAGAGATACATTATGAAACATTAAATCTTATTCTACATATATCGTTTACAAACATTCTTAGCATCACAGAGAGATACTGTCATGGAATCCACAAGAACAACAAACCCCAAAACCAGAATCGTTATTACAACATAATGATAATATTAAGAGGGAAAATGGTCATCAAAGCTGACCATCTAAGCAGCAGAAGTAGCAGGTGCAGCGCTTAACTCCAGTACTTTAACCCCTAGCTCCACCTTGTCGGCACCAACAATCCTGTGAACTTCTTTTCCTCCTTTCAGGAAAACAAAGGTCGGCATCGCATTCACCTCGAACCTCTCAGCAATTTCCTGCAAAGAAACAGAACAGTTCAATTCCACTGCATCAACAATATAAAAAGTTTGGAAGAGTTGAAAAGGCTCAAATTGCTTTACCTTGACATTATCGACGTCCACTTTCAAGAAAGTGACATTGACGTGCGCCTTAGCCAACTCTGCGAATACTGGAGCAATGATACGGCATGGCGGGCACCAGGAAGCAGTAAAATCGATCACAATCTATCAAAGAAGATTTTATATACATCAGAAACAAAAAGAACCCCCAAAACTATAGAGGTGATACTATATTTAATCCAGTGAAGTACTACTACTGTCAAAGGAGGATGGAATCATCAAATTCAATGACACGAAGCGAGTAACACAGAAGAATTGAAGATTAGAAATCATAAAATCCGAGGCAATCAAACATAGCTAGCCAGGACTCAATAAATTAGATTAAACAAAAGAAACCTAGACACAAATACAAGTCAATATCACAAATCCTAACGAATCAATCACGATTTCCTCCAAATCATGAACAATATCCAACAATAACAACACAAATCCAACAAAAATCGTTTGAAACGACAAGAACATCAGGAAATCAGAAATTGGAAAGCAGAAATGGAGAGGAAAAGAAATAAAAAATCATACCAGTTTGCCAGATTCCTTCTCTTTATCGATTATCACATCGAATTCTTTAGCATCGCGAAGTGGAATCACTTGACCTTCAACAGCCATTGCTTCAAAGAAAAACGAGTGTGTATCCTGCAAAGGTCTCACTGTATTTGAAAACGAAGCGATGGATGAAGACGAAAGGAGCAAGGGGGTTTATATAGAGAGAGAAATGGCCCTAGATGTCGTTCGTATCAATTTACCAAATTACCCTCATATTTGAGTTTTATTACGAGATAATCTCAGTGGTTCATGACGCGAGCGCCTATGCCAAAAATGTGAATGCATTTATCCATAAAAATGTCGTTATTCTGAATGGGAACGGATAAAAAGAATAAAAATAAATAAATAAATAATTCATTATAATTCATTGTTATTTTTAAAATGCCTCAAATTTGCCGTACAATATAATTCAACGGTCAATACATTTATTCTCGATCTCAAAATTTTAAATTTCGTCGAATTAAAAAATAAATAAATACAAATATATATACAATGAATTTAAAAAAATAATAATAAAAGAATTAGATTTTAATCTATGGTTAATTATTTTAATTATCTTGAAAAAAATTAAATTAATTCTAAATTCATTCATATGGTTTGAAATATTTCAGAGCATATTTGATTGATATTTATTTATTTATTTTTAAAATAGAGTTAGTATTTAAAGTTTATATTTCTCTTTTTAGAAAGTAAATATAATATATATTCGATAGTATATCTAAAATATGAAAATACAAAAAAAAAAAAAAAAAAAAAAAAAAAAAAGTTATTCGTTAAATTTTTTTGATAGTCGCACGTTTAATTTAGATAGGATAAAACACGTTCTTATCTATTTGATTGAATTACTATTTTTTAAGATACTCGTAAACGGTGGTTCAAACTAGAAATGTTTGTTTCTCTGGTATGACCCATCTTGCATGAATCGTCTCGTTATGAATTGGCAAGGAAGTAGAGGAACAAAAAAATTACCCGTGAACTTTGTCATCGTGGTCGACTTTGCCTCCGTCCTATTTTCTTTATTTTTAAATATCCTAAATTTAAACTTTAATGAAATGTTATTTTAATAAAAAACATAAACCGAGAATAATTTTTAATTACAAGAGCTAAAATAATTTATTTTGACTTCTGAACCTATATTGTAGGGTGGATCTCGAAAGATTTGAAAGATCTCCCTCCAAGCCGTATATACTACTTTCATCGAATATGGCAAGGTATTGTAAAGCAAAATAAGAACCGGAAGTCATCGCTAACTCCGTCCTAAAGATTTAGGGAACAGAAAAGCATAAAAAAAACTATGGTGGAGCATATGAGGCAGCAATATATGAACCAAATTTCTCTTACAACTAATCACAAACATTCAAATCCAAACCAATCCATAATATTCAAGAACAAATCTATGCATCGAGTAAGATGCAACTTTAAGAACTTGAAATGCAGCAGTCTGATCAGAAACCTAAGAACAGTGACGAGCCAGAACCCGATAAAACTCCGAGCTCGGCCGAGGTAAGAACTCTCCAAAGCTAATCCATGGAAGCTCTAGGACCATAGCAGAAAGCTAATGACTGAACCTCCTTTTTAGACTTCAAATGTAGCTAAAAGCTAGTAGAATACAGTGGTAACTAGAATGGCAGCGTTTATTCATTCTACAGATGGAGCCATTTCATAGAATTCAAACCTTAGGAAGAGCTCCACGAACCGGATGTTCCCGAAGGACTCCGATTCTCGAGTGCTTCTGTTCTTGTACCGTTCATCGTTCTCTGCCAAGATGATGTTTCTGTTAGCCCAGAATATGGAAACAGAGAGAACATAGACAAAGAAACACTTCAAACATATGACTTGAACATGTTTCAACTGATTTTTTTGATGCATTCTTGGAAAATGTTCTTTTGTTAGAAGTTGTGTCGCTATGCAGCTGTAAACAGGTGAGTGTTTGGTATGGTTACTAACTATTAGATAGAGACAGAGTGTGACAATTGTCTATCAGGTACAAGAAAAGACGGTAACTGAAACGGTCAAAACCCACTGCTAGCAGATATTGTCCATTTTGGGTTTTCACTTCCGGGCTTCCCTCAAGGTTTTAAAATGCGTCTGCTCTGCTAGGGAGAGGTTTCCACACCCTTATAAAAAATGTTTCGTTCCCCTCTCCAATCGATGTGGGGATCTCACAATCCACCCCCCTTCGGAGCCCAACGTCCTCACTGGCACTCATTCCTCTCTCCAATCGATGTAGGATCTCACAATCCACCCCCTTTCGGGGCTCAATGTCCTCGTTGGTCATTGCCTGGTGTGCTCTGATACTATCTATAACAACCCAAGCCCACCGTTCGCAAACATTGTCCTCTTTGGGCTTTGCCTCAAGGTTTTTAAAACGCATCTACAGGGGAGAGGTTTCCACACTCTTATAAAGAATGCCTCGTTCCCCTCTCCAACCGACGTAGGATCTCACAATCCACCCCTCTTCGGGGCCTAACGTTCTCGCAGGCACTCATTCCCTTCTCCAATCGACGTGGGATCTCACAATTCATCCCTTTTCGGGGCCCAACATCCTCACTGGGCTCTGATACCATCTGTAACAGCCCAAACCCACCGTTAGCAGATATTATCCTTTTCCGACTTTCCCTTCCAGCCTTCCCCTTAAGGTTTTTAAAATGCATTTGCTAGGGAGATGTTTCCACACTCTTATAAAGAATGCTTCGTTCCTTTCTCCAACCGATGTAAGATCTCACAACAAGAGACGAGTTATAGCATGTTCCTTCTCTTCTTTTTCTCTCTAACATATGCTTATGAAAACAGATCCATTTCCAGATGACTAAACTTGTTTGAAGGAAGAAAACAACACACAGACAAGCTACTTCCAACACTAAAATGATATTTTCATCTCAAACAAAAAATCATAAGAAGTGGGAAAAGGAACAAACCTTGAGGCATAGGTTCCTCTGAGTATCACAAATGGGATAATCAAAGGGGCAACAATGACGACCGTCCTTGCAACAGACAGCAGAGCTCAGTCCACAGCATTTCCAAGACAAGCAAAGGCCAAAAAATTCCTTCGCACAACAACAGGTCTCCCCAGCAGCACAGCTAGTAAGAAAACTGCATTTTGTTGGACCTGGCGGAGGGGAGGGAGGTGGGTTGGGACTCGTTTTAGTTGGATATGAAGCAAGCATGTTGATTCCGCAAACGCCTTCAGAATTTCCGCTGTTGCGCTGCATGTGAATATAACCATCCATTCCCCAACGTTTACCCCACGAGTTCTTCACGATCCAATAATCAACACCATTTTCTGATCCATATCCTACAATCAACACAGCATGATCCAAGGAAGTTGAACATGGACCAGAGAAAATTCCCTAACAGAAACAAGTACCATTCTTGATTTTAGTCATAATTTCACGTATGATGGAATTTTCGAACATTAGTGGAGAATAGAACCAACCTTTGAATATAATTGAAAAGCTCTCTCACTGCCACAGATACCAACACTCACAGGTTGAATTGCTACTGCTTGCAGTAATTTTTCCTCATTGTTTGGAGGAACATCGGAATAGCCATCAATGGTAACGACCTTCCTATTTAGCTGCAAGCTCAATAGACACAAAATGCATTTCAGCGCAAGCAATCTTTTTCTATGCGTAAGGAATCCATCTTCTATGTGAGATCCTACATCGGGGAGAAAAACGGAACATTTTTTATAAGGGCATGGAAACCTCTCCCTAGTAGACGCGTTTTAAAAACCTTGAAAGGAACCCCGAAAGGGAAAGCCCAATGAAAACAATATTTGCTAGCGGTGGGCTTGAGCCGTTATAAATGGTAACAGAGCTAGACACTGAGTGATGTGCTAGCAAAAGGCTGAGCCCCGAAGGGGGTGGACACGAGGCAGTGTGTCAGCAACGACACTGGGCACCGAAGGGAGGTGGATTGGGGAGTCTCACATCGAGGAGGTTGCACCTCGAAGTGGGTGGACACGAGGCAGTGTGCCAGTAAGGACGCTAGACCCTGAAGGGGTGGATTGGGGGTCCCACATTGATTGGAGAAAGGGAATGAATGCCAGCGAGAATACTGCGCCCAGAAGGGGGTGGATTGTGAGGAGAACGAAGAACGAAGCATTCTTTATAAGGGAGTGGAAAACTCTCCCTAGTAGACACGTTTTAAAAACCTTGAGATGAAGCCCGAAAGGGAAAACTCAAAGAGAACAATATTTGCTTACGGTGAGCTCATGAATCATTCAAAATGAGTCCATAAAAAGTGATTTACTAATATTGTGAACGTATTTGGAAGATGTGAGGAAGAGATGAATTATATTACCTTGTCCTTATGACACGATCCATCACGACCCTGAAAAGGATAATCATCTTCGGTGTCGATCCCGTGGTTTTTTATAACAAATTGGTATGCATAATCCATCAGTCCTCCTCCACAGCCAGAATTATACGATCTGTCACAATCAATTAATTCCTGTTCAGAAACACTGATAAGAGACCCTGTTCTAATTTGGTTGATCCCTTCAATAGCTCCTGTTGCTGAGAAAGACCAGCAAGCACCTGAAAAGTGAAAACAAAAGATATTGGTTCTTTCCCATTTAGATGAGCAAAGCTTCCACATAATTCAAAGCTTATCATGAAGAGATGATGATACAACTTAACTACCTTGATGATCAATATCAGGTTATGTGACAAAATCATCACTAGATCCAAAACTCAGCTAGAGTATAGTTCATAATTTAATACATTTTCAACACTTTTCTTTATATTTTGTTTGAGATCCCGAGGAGAACGAAATATTCATTATAAGGGTTGGTAACCTCTCCCTAGCATACGCGTTTTAAAAACCTTGAGGGGAAGCCTAAAGAAAACAATATCGGCTAGTGGTGGGCTAGGAGCGATGTGCCAGCAAGGACGTTGGGTCTCGAAGAGGATGGATTGGGAGGTCCCACATCGATTGGAGAAGGGAACGAGTGTCAGCAAGGACGCTGGGCCCCAAAGGGAGGTGGACTGTGAGATTCTACATCAATTGGGGAGGAGAACCAAACATTCTTTATAAGGGCGTGGAACCTCTCCTTAGGAGAGGAGAAGAAGCACAAAAAGGACAATATCTGAAGTTAAGCTCAAACATGAACTAGATTTCTGCAATTCTACATACAGAATCTTAAAATAGACTGAAGAACAAATGCTTAAACTCATATGGCCAAGCAATAATGTTTGGTTTCAAGAAACAGAAGCACAATTTCCACTTATAATGATTTCTTTGTTTGGATTTGTAAGAGATAACCCCATGTTCATGAAGCCATTTATAGAAATTTCCACTAATAATGCATCGATCGTCAAAACTAACCCTAGTGTCCTGGGGTTTCAATCAAATTCAAAATCACGGAACAGAGTAGTTCAATCAGATTCAAGATCTTCACCAAACAAAACAATCGAAAACAGAAATTAAACATACCACAACTTCCTTGATCCTTAACAGCAGTCACAGCCCCTTTCTTCCTCCAATCTAACGATTCAGGAACATCCCGATGAAGATAGGGTTCTTGCGGCGAAACCGGCCGCGAGCTCCGCAAAGCAGAGGAAAGACCTAAGCGAGCGGCCTTGAACTCATGGTGAGTAATATCGGCATAAGCATTGAGAGAAAGAGTATAAGAAGAATTTCCCTGATTATTGTGATGAGTAACAAATTCATAGTTATCGGCAAAAACACCGAGTCTGTAAAGCTTTTCTTCCGCGGAGGAATACGATTTTCCATGTTCTGTGCACCAGATTTCAAAGAGCTCCGAAATATCCGAAGTAGCAGAAAAATGGCGAAGAAGAAAGAGAAAGGTAATCACAAAATGGAAGCTGAGATTGGCCATTCTTTGCCGAGATAAAAGCGTGGCGGTGATGGATAATCGCCGGCGAGTCGGTACACGGCCGCCGTAGATGGCTGCTATCAAATAACCAGAGGATTGGTTATTCGATCTTCGATGAACAATGGTCCAAACCAATCGGCAATTGACAGGCAATTAACTCACGAAAATCGTCGAACTTGAATGATTTTGTTTGGATTTTTTGGATTTTTCGAGAATGATTTTGACCTGTTTGTTAATTGTTTACAATTTGCTTTGGTATTTCTAAAACGTGATTTTAAAGAACATTTAAGAAGAAAATATCCCGTGATGATTAAGATTAAAATATAAGTTTAGTTTAATTTCATATTTTACGATTAAATATCGATAATTTATTGAAATAATTTGGAATTTGAATTTGGTACCTAATGGTTCTTCGTAGTACACCTTCTTGATATAGACAGTATATTTTCATTCATATCTCTTTCAATAGTCTGTGTCTATTCAATGTTTTGTAGTTAATCTCCACCCAACCCACAACCCACCGGACGTGGCTCTCTAGTTTCCAAGCACTTGGCTTTCCAAGTGAGATGTACGAAAAATCTAATATTTATTTAGTTCACACTTCAATTGAGCTCTAAAGAAAGTGACTTTCTCAATGCCTTCGATCTCCATTGATGCAAAGCCTCACAATTGGGTATTGAAGATTCGCCCACGTGTTCAAAAGATGGAGAATTTATTGATAGAGAGGATATGATGATGAATTGACGTTTTGCATCTTGTGAAAATAATACTAAAACGTTCTATCAAAGATTTGGAATCCGAACGTGGCATTTGATGGTCTTCACGTTTCCCCCTGTATCTCCTACGATATGGTCACGTTACCTACTCCTCGCGTTTTAAGAGTGAAAACTATCCTCACTAACCAGTCCTTCTCATGAAAATACAAAGGAAGTCACTTGACATAAAATTGTTTTAGGTGAAACACGTTTATCCATAGAGTTCTTATAATTGAGTCACTGAAAAAAAAAAAAAAAAGTGAAACTTATAATACAAATAGTAACCTTCATTTCTTTTAAGTGTGTCTTAGTCATGGAGTTCTTTAGGACCGCTCTCTCATTCGAATATAGGGTCAGTTCATTTATATACCACTTCAATGCTCTGAGTGTTACAAGACACCACATTTGTATACTCAACTCTATCTTTGTATCATGTGGTCGTATCATTCTCAATAATGAATAAACTTTTTGGAAGAAGTTGACTCATGGGCATACTACATCTTGAAATTACGGCTAACTTGTCTTAACCTAGACAAACAACATGAACGATCAGCTAAAGGTGTAGGATCAAACTTCCTCGAGATTGTTTTTGTACTTTTAAGACTCGATCGTTCTTCTATTTAAATCATTAAGTTAACACCACATTAGCATATTCCTAAATTCTCAATTGTTCAATTCTAAATTCCTTCCTAAACTAAGCAAAATAAATCAATCTACATTCGATTTACGATAACCCTAGCTAGTTGAATCTAAGAATTTTCATCGGACATGCAAACCTCTAGTTCACAAAGGTTAAAATCTTCGAATCAAGTTGATTTCATTCCAAATGATACGAAACTCTTAAAAATTCAATCTAATAATGTTCCAAAAGAACAAATTCCAAAAAGATAAGAAATCAATCTAAAAGAAAAGTTTTGGAATAGGTTACCTTCATGATCAAGATCAAGAGTAGAGAAAGCTCGTGATTCGAATTACTCCACAAATTAGCTCGATCAAACCTGTTTAAATGACTCTACCAGGCAAATTATATCCATTTGGGATGAAAGACTACATACACTGACACCAATAAAATGAAGAAAAAGGGAATTCGAAAAGAAAAAAAGGGTGAAGTTTAAGGTGAACTGGAATTTTTGTTGTGCTCGTGTAGAGACGAAAATGAAGCCATGTGTGTGCAAGACAGTAACCCAGAAGAGCCCTCTTCCTATCGACACGATTTCTACAGTTCATCCTGCCAAGTATCATCCCATCCCCTGTTTCAGCCACGTTTCATCCCTTCCCACTTTCTCGCTCTAATTCCCCCAATTCATTCATTTTCTTTTAACACATCCCTCCAACAATCCCACATGCACTATCCTTTTCCATGTTGAATCCACGAGCCAAGCAACCGCCGCCGCAGCAGCAGCAGCAGCTCAAAAGGGCCTCCTCTTCTGCCCATCCCAGCTCAAGAAAGGGCTGTATGAGGGGCAAAGGAGGGCCTGAAAACGCTTCCTGCACTTACAAAGGTGTCCGTCAAAGAACTTGGGGCAAATGGGTTGCTGAGATTCGTGAGCCTAATCGTGGGGCTCGTCTTTGGCTTGGCACTTTTGATACCTCTCATGATGCTGCCATGGCTTATGACAATGCCGCTCGTCGCCTCTATGGCTCTGACGCCAAGCTCAATCTTCCTTCCTCTGCTGCAGAGCCTGAGAAGTCTGTGGTAAACAATGGCGGGATGGGGTTTGGGGAGGAGGACGAAAATGGTGGGCTTTGGAGGTCTATGAGTATTAGCTTAGATGATTCCATTTGGGTTGATGCAGCCATGTCTTTGGATTTCCCTGTCATGGAAGATCAGAGCCTTTTGGCTGCGAATTTGGTGGATGGAAATGGATGGGACACACTACAATGGTGCTTATGATATACATATGAACAAGGCTTGGTGGATAACACTTGTAATTCTAAGTTGTATCGTTGTTTTCTCGTGTGGGATTGTCTTGTTTATCCAAAATGTTTCATTTTTTTCTCTCTTGATTCGTTTTTGTTTTGATTTTTGTTGATTTGGGGCTGTTCGGATTGAAAGCTATATGAAATTATTTTTGTTTATACTTCCAATCTTCCAAATAAGATGGAGACAAAAGAAGAACATGCCAAATGGACTATAAAACACACATTCAAAGAAAGTTATAATAAACAAAACAGATTAAGCCATGGAAAAAGCTCAATTCTAAGGGTTTTTTATTTTTATTTTTTCTCTTCTCTTCTGCACATTAAGCCATGGAAAAAGCTCTGTGATGGGTTGAAGAAGAAGAGATGATTCAGGCAGCTGATGAAAGGTGACTCACCGGAGCAGATTTTGCCAATTTTGAAGCTATCCATTGACGATTGTGCAGCCATAGGGCATCAGCTTCCACAGAATATTCATCTTGGTTGCGATGCCAAGCGAAGTAGGCATGAGTTCTGTTCTTTATGTCCAGTGTGGCATGGCCGAAGCTGGCTTCACGGTAAGCTGAGTATCTTGGCTGTGGTTCTGTCATCCTGCATGGTTCAAAAACCAAGTCAAAAAAGCCTTAGCTGTTGAGTTGAAAGATTAAGAAAAGAGAAGTTGAAGGGTTCCAGTGATTACTCTGTTACTAATCCTTCTGAGTTTCCTCCATCTCCAATGGTTATGTAAACTGGAGCATCTTGGTTACGCATTGGGGAACATAACCCATTTACAATGTTGTATGCTATATTTGATACTCGTTCCTGTTATGCAAGATCGGATATTCATATGATCAATCATTCTTATGATTCATCAACATTAACAACCTGTTTTTTCTGCATAAAATGGTTGGATTTATGTAACCAGTCAAAGTCCTAGCTTGGGTTTGTTACATATGACCGTCAGCCTCCCAATTTTAAAACATGTCTGCTAGGGAGAGGTTTTCACACCCTCATAAGGAATGTTTCGTTCTCCTCTCCAACCGATGTGGGATCTCACAATCCACCCCCTCGAAGGCCAAGCGTCTTCGCTAGTACACCATTCGTTGTCTGGCTCTGACGCCCTTTGGACTGCTAGCAAATATTGTCCACTTTGGCCCATTACGTATCGCTGTGAGTCTCACGATTTTAATTTTAAAACGCGTCTGCTAGAGAGAAGTTTCCACACAGAGGTTTCCACATTTTTATAAGAAATGTTTCGTTCTACTCTCGAACCGAGGTGGGATCTCACGGATTTGATAATTATTTTGTTTTGTTTCCCATCACTTTTGTTTTTGTTTGTTTGTTTTTTTTTTTTTTTTTTTGGGTAAAGATAAGGCTGGTAAGTACTACTTANTTTTTTTTTTTTTTTTTTTTTTTTTTTTTTTTTTTTTTGGGTAAAGATAAGGCTGGTAAGTACTACTTACAGATCGTTCGTAGGCATGAACGTGACCCGCGAAGACAACATCAACTTTATAGTTCACGAACCATGGCTCGAAGACCACTCTCATGCTTTCTCCCTCCATGTAATGGTGAACATAACTGCTGTACATTGGAGTATGCATAAGAACTATGAGCCACGGAGTCTGGTCCCTGTTTACCCTTAGCAGCTCGCTCTGCAGCCATTTGTATTGGGGGCTGCTTTTCACTGCGAGAGAAAGGAGGCAAAAACACAAGCTTGAGCGTGCGATATAGATTTATTTAAAGTTCAGGATTCTAATTGTGTTGGATACAAGATGAACATGAACAATTCTCTTCACTAGATAAAAACTTTCTCGAGGTTTACGTACGATCTCATTAGGAACAAGAAGTATCATAATAGCAAAACAATGCCAACATAATCTATAACAATGAAGCTAAACAGAAAAGGGACACTTACGTACCATAAGATGAGTAAGAGGACAAGACAATTATATGAGCAGAAGCTCTCTTGATGGAGTACCAAAGCGGAGACGAGCCATCCAATGCATTATATGGGACACGGTAGCGATGCAAAAAAGGCTTAAATGGTTCGGTTTCACCCTGGAAAATGATCAAATCAATTCTGGTGAGGGTATGCTCCAAAGATTTGAACCAATCAACCATATCAACAATAGAGAAAAGATGTATAAGATTAATACAATGTCAGGAGCATAGTCGAGTTCATGATTCCCTGCAGTCCAAATCCAAGGTTGATAAGCTGCACTTCTTTCTACAAACCTCCCCCATGTGTCCCACCTGGTGTTGTCATGGAAGGGATAACGGTCTGCATACGACAGGTCCCCGACGAACAACATAGCCTGTCCTTTTGTTGGGTTTGATTCATAATGTGTAAGTGTTTTATTGGAATCATATGTTTGGCCAAGATCTCCTGCTCAAAGAGAGTCGAATAATCACATGTTTAAGCAACTCAAATCCTACCGAAAGCAATATTCAATACAAAAAGTAAGGTTTAAATTATAAATTTAGTCCGTATAATTTGAAATAAGTTAGAATTTCGTTCTTATGGTTCGATAAAACCTCGTTAATAGTTCTATTATTAAGAACACATATCAGGCAGTTTGCTAGCCATATGCCAATGAGATAATCCTTTGCATTAACCCATTTGGTATCCAGTCGGCTACTTAACTCACACAATGTGCTAAATACAAAAGACTACTTCATTGACATATGAATAACTAATTATCACGTAATCAATCACTTCTATCGATAGGAGATAGAAGTATTTGTGATGTTTTATGTAATAGCCCAAGCTCACCGCTAGCAGATATTGTCTGTTTTGGCCCGTTACGTATCGTCGTCAGCCTCACGATTTTAAAACACGTCTACTATGAAGAGTAGAAAGAGGTTTCCACACCTTCATAAGAAATGTTTCGTTCCTTTCTCCAACCAATGTGGGATCTCACAATAATAGGGGTGGATTGTGAGATTCCACATCGGTTGGAGAGGAGAACTCTTCCTTATAAGAGTGTAGAAACATCTCCCTAGTAGACGGGTTTTAAAAATCATGAAGCTGACGACGATACGTAATGAGCCAAAGTGGACAATATCTGCTAGCGATGGGCTTGAGCCGTTACACTTCATCAAGCTATAAGGACAAACTTCTAGCTTTTAAAATCATAGGAACTAAACTTTAACTTCCAAACCCGAGACCAAATTGTGATTCAACCAAAACGTTACCTATAACACCAAAAGTATAAGGCACATCAGGGCCAATTTTAGGAGGGGTAACAAACCATAACCTTCGTGTTAGACTTCCGAACCCGATCACATAGAAATATTTCGTGTCGTACTGCAAAGGATCATAGAATGATCAAGCAAATCAGGTGTATTCATATCGTTTTCAAATTCAGAATGTAAATGAAGCTCAATCAATAACAGAACACAGACCTCTAAATTCTCAATAGTGCAGTGATGAATGAAACCAGATGTATAGTTGAAGTACTTATAGGAAACAACAGAGCCTTCAGCTTTGTTTCTAATCGGACTGTTTTCAGCCCAATAAACCACTCTGTTTGAACCAGGTTTCTCCGGTGTAACCCATGAGATAATTACACTCTTTCCCTCAAGATCCCCTTGTGTTATATGAACCTTCAATCAACAGCCACAAGAAAAACTCAGTCATGTAATAGAATTCGTGATTTTAGTGGCAATAATTCGTTTATGGAAGATTTATTAGACCTAATCTCCATTTAAGCATTGGTTTTACAATTCTAAACATGATTTTCATAGATAAAAATCGATCGAGATGGATTAAAGATATGTTTCAGAGTAAAATTTGAAGAATACGATGGATTTCCAATAATTCACAGATTAAGCTCAAAACAATCAAATGCAACGAAGAAAAACTCAAAGGCGCGAAGAAACAGAACAAAGCAAAACAACAAACACCTGTTGTGCGGCATTTCTACCGGGAGGAGGCTTGAACACATCGCTATCGAGCGGCATATCCGACGCCACATAGTCATTCCTAACGTAACCGCTCGTGAATCCGCCATTACAAACGCCCAAATCGCACACTACAAAACCCAAAATAACAAGAACAGAAAATCCAGCACGAAACATGCTAATACCCATCGATCTCGGCCGGATTCCAAAACCAAATCTCCAAATCCCTTTATGTAAATGAAATTAATCTCCGTGTGGTCTGATTCTTACCACACGTGAAGGAATGGGAGTGATTTGGTTCAATCGATAACGAACAGAAATTTAAAGAGAAACTGGAGAAAATGATGATCCAGGGATGTGGTCGCGTGGGAGAGATTTTAGAAATCAGTTTGCTGCCATTTCAACGTGACAGTTGCAGAAGTTTGATTAAAATCCAAATTTTCTCCATATCTTCTTGGAAGAGAATATGCAGTTCATGAAAAGAATATGCGGTTCTTAGTAGTTATTACTTACGTGGCATCATCATAGCACCCAACATTTATATATTAAATTATTGTCCTCTTGAAATGAAGTCGGGAGAGAAGTCTCTAAGATCGTTATGGTCCGGGCTCTTGCTCAAGTCGTCGGTCCATGAAACTCTATTACGCTCCTACGTTGGGGTGGCTCTATTAGCTAGCACGAGTTTGAATTAAAGAACGAGCTAAAACTCAATCTAACTCCTCCCATTTGGCTTGAAAATCGAACCTAACCTCCTAATCCATCCATTTCTGTCACAGGGGATCAACATATTTTCTCGCTTGTCCTTTACAAGTAGGACAATATTTGCTAGCGGTGGCCTTGGGCTGTTACCAATGATATCAAAGTCAGACATCGAGCGATGTGCCAACAAGGGGAGTGAACACGAGGTGGTGTGCAGGGAAGGACACTGGGCCACCGAAAGGGGTGGATTAGGAAGTCCCACATCGATTGGAGAAGGAAATGAGTGTCAACGAAGACGCTAGCCCCGAAAAGAGATGGATTGTAAGATCCCATATCAGTTGAAGAAGAGAAAGAAACAGTTTATCCATTCATTTCTACCTAAGAGGGTTGGTAAATAATTATTCGTATATATATATATATATATATATATATTTATTGAATAATCATAGTAATAATTTAAAAATAAAATATAAATTAAAATATAATTCACCTCATCAAAACAATTAGAAATTATATTGTGACCTTAAATCAAACCATTAATTTAACAATACAAAGCATATAATATATATATAGATAGATATATATATATATAGTGGTCCCCACACTTTGGATAATCACAATATTACCCCTGGCCCCACCATCTCTTTCCTCTTCCTTCTAGAAGAAAGAAGCTTGTTGTGGTAAAAGAACACGTGTCTTAAGGGAGTCAAAAGTTGGGTGTGTTTTTTCTAAGGCAAGTCAAACATTTTCAGCCGTAGGATGCAGGAGTGGCTGGTTAAGAGACGGCTTGATGTGGCCGCTTGTTCTGCTGGTAACATGGTCCGGAGTAGACTGGATTACTGCCCATTCCAATAAGAGCTTCCTCTCTTCGCTCTTGCCCCACAGCACAAGGTATAGTCCCGATATAATCAGCACCGCCCCTATGATCCTGTACATCCAACCCCACGTTTAATCAAATACTATTTTATTTTTAAATTTTTTTAATTATATTCTTAAACTCTCAAAATAAATATAAAAATGACAAAATTGATCATGTGATGATCGTGTGAGAAAAAATGAACGGTGGAGATTAAAAGAAAGAAAGATACAGAGAAAGGGGACGCACCCTCCCAAGTAAAACTCTTCACCCAAAGCGAAGGAAGCCATGAGCGCAACAACGAAGGTCTGAACCGGTTGGTAGACAGCCACAAAGACCGGACCACCTCTGTCAATACACCATATCTGTACGGCGAACGCTATCCCGGAAGCCACCACCCCCTGCAATAACAACTCTTCATAATGGTACGATATTATCCAGTTTAAGGGAAAAGAATCTGTACTAATAGAGATGTATTTCTTACTCATAAATTCATGATCATTTTCTAAATTACGTGGGACCCCTTTTCAACAATCCTCCTCTCGAACTAAGTGTCTTATAGGGCTTCCCCTGATGCCTATGGAGCCCTAGCTAATGTAGGACTCCCTTCCAACCATCCTCTCAAACAAATTACACTATAAAGTCTCTCCTGGAGCCTATGGAGCGTTCGAACAACCTCCCCTTAAACGAGGCTCGACTCCTTTAGAGTCATCGAACAAAGTACACCCTTTGTTCGACACTCGAAGATTCTATTGAAATGGCTAAGTTAAGGGCACTACTCTGATACCATGTTATGAATAACGACTCTTCACGATGGTATAATATTGTCAACTTTGAGGATAAAATCTTGTGACTTTACTTTTTGTTTATGAAAAGACCTTTTACCAATAGTCAATGTATGATTCCCTCCCAACAATCTTTACTCACCGCATAAACAATGCTGAAGGCTTCGGCGTCGGAATGGAAGAGCCAAGCCTGAGCATCGCGCTCGAACGCGGCAGCGATGATGAAGAATTGGATGAGGCCAAAAAAGCAAGTGAATGACGTGACGGAGAGTCGAGCCGGGTACTTTTTCAGCACCGGAGCTTGTAGAACCAGCCACGCCGACCACGACAAGCAGTGTCCGATCAAGTACATGCACCCTAACGTCCAGCTTTTGCCCTTTGCGTCGCCTAGTGACGGGAACATTCCCGGCCCCATCAGCATCCCCGCCGTCTCCGCCGTGCTGTGCACCGTCACTGTCGTTGCCGGGCTGTAGACGGTGGGGCCTTTGTATAATGTGATCACCGTCGCTCCGGCCACGCAGCATAGAGTGCCTACCACCTTCGCTATCCCATCTTTCCGGTTTAGTCGAACTTGTTCTATCCTGTTGGAAAAAATAAGAATTAATATTGAGAAATAATTCGTTGTTAATTTAAGGTTAAAATATAAACAAAATGGTTTAATAAAATCATGGGTTGACTTCAATTTTTTTGTTAATTTTGTTTAATTATTTAAAATATAGATAAAAATCAAAATATTAAGCTTAATTTTAAAAAATAAAAATCAAATATTTATCATACTAAAATTTAATTTTTAAAATAATTTAATTTATTTTTAAAATATCGATAGAAAGTGAATACAAAATGAGGCTTAATTTTAAGACTCACATCTAAAACATAACCTAAAACAAAAAAATGCTAGATTCCACGTTGGTTTATTTATAAGTGTGTAAAAATCTTGCAGATACGTTTTAAAAACCTTGAGGGGAAGTTCGACAATATCTGTTAGAGATGAGATTAGACCGTTATAAATGGTATCAGAGTCAGCCACCGAGCGATGTGCCAGCGAGAAAACTGAGCCCCAAAGGGGGTGGACACGAGACAGTGGGTCTTGAAAGGGGGTGAATTGGGAGGCTCACATCGTTTAGAGAAGGGAACGCCAGTGAGGATGCTGAATTCCATAGAGAGGTGTGTGCTAACAAGGACGATGTATCTCGAAGGGAGGTGAATTGGGGGGCCCACATCACTTAGAGAAGAGACCGAGTGTCAGTGAAGACGCTGAACTCCATAAAGAGGTGTGTGCCAACAAAGACGCTGAGTCTCAAAGGAGGGTGAATTGGGAAGGCCCAAATCGTTTAGAGAAGGGAACAAGTGTCAGTGCTGTACTCCATAGAGAGGTGTGTGACAACAAGCACGTTGGGTCTCGAAGGGGGGTGCATTGGGGGGCCCACATCGCTTAGAGAAGAGAACGAGTATCAGCAAGGACGCTGAACTCCATAGAGAGGTGTGCGCCAACAAAGATGCTGGATCTCAAAAGGGAGGTGAATTGGGGGGCCGACATCGCTTAGAGAAGTGAACGAGTGTCGGTGAGGACGCTGAACTCCATGGAGAGGTGAATTGTGAGATCCCATGTCAATTGGGGAGGAGGGTTGACACGAGAGGTGGTGTGCCAACAAGGACACAGTACTCCGAACGGAGATGGATTGTGAGATCCCACGTCGGTTGAAGAGGAGAACGAAGTATTATTTATATATTATATAGTTTAGTTTATTAAATTCTCGTGAACGAAAATTGTAGTAGCTTCGTTGAATAATTTCGTACCGGAGAAGTACAGCCATGAGGAAAGTAATAGCAGGGACAGAATTCTGAATAGCAGAAGCAAAGGTTGGGGAAGTATTATCCAAACCCAACAAGTAAAACCCTTGATTTGCAGTAATTCTGCCCACGTAAAAACACAATCATTAGTGATTTAAACCAATCCCATAAGATTAAAATTACCTTTTTTTCACTTTTAATTACCCAACGAGAGCGAGGAGGAAGAACTGAAGAACAAAGTTGAGAGTAAGCGCAGGCCTATCCTTCCTGCCCACACAAAAACACAGTAAAAACAACGCTGTAAAACTGTTAAATCAGATTACAATGGAGTATTATCTAAAGTTAAATTACTTTTCCATGAAATATGCAAAGGGAAGGAGGAGGAGCAAAGCGATGACGTTTCGATAGACAGGGAAGACGAGTTTACTAATGCCCATATTGAGGGCAGCTCTAGAGACGACATGGAAGCCAGCGTAGCCGAATTGCAAGGCTAACATGGCGGCGTGGAGCTGGAACCTCTCGGGGATCGAACACGACATTCTCTTGTTCGAGACCGAGCCGATGTCCGCCATGGATGGAACTTGAAGAAGAAGGAGATGACGGTGGTGATGGATGAGGAAAATTAAGAGGTAACGGTGAGGTATATATATGGAGAGGGGAAGAGTTGGGTGTCAAATATTGTCTAATTTAGTCTAAATTGTTATTAGATATTGTTCACCTTAGTCCAAGTTATAACAAATATTGTCCCATTTAGCCCAAACTGCCTCTAGATATTTTCCACTTTAGCTCAAACGGCCATTAGATATTGTCCACTTTACCCCAAACTGCTAGTAGACATTGTCCACTTCAACCTCAAATTACTAGTCGATATCGTCCACTTTAACCTTAAATTACTAGCCAATATTGTCCACTACCCAAATTGCTAGTAAATATTGTCTACTTTTAACAATAAAATAATTAGCAGATATTATTGTCCACTTTTGACCAAACTGGTAGCATATATTGTCCACTAATCCTAAACTACTAGCCAAGAATGTTTACTTTGACCGAGACTAGTAGCATATATTGTCCACTTTGACCCGACTAATAGCATATATTGTTTACTCTGGCTCAAACACTAAAATACACTGTCTACCTTGGCTTAAATTGCTTGCAGATATTGTTCACTCATTAGAGATATTGTCTCCTTTTGTCCATTACCCATCGCGGTCAGTTTCACAGTTGTAAAACATGTCTATTAAGAACAGGTTTCCACACCATTATAACAAATGTTTTGTTAATTTAGCTCACGGACTTTTCTACGAAATTTAAATTTATTTTTGTTGATAAATTTTTAACTTTAAAAAATATTAAATAAATTCTTAAATATTATTTAAATTATGATACTATGAAAATTTTATGATTTTTTTTTAATATTAAAAATGAGAGGAAGGAGAGAGGAAGGAGGAGAAAAGGAATAATGGAATTAATGACGATTAAGTGTGTTTGGTCATGGAGAAAAAAATATTAAAATATTAAAATATTAAAATAAAACAAATAATAAATAATAATACGATAAAATAAAATAAAAAGTAAAGAATGAACAAAATAGCGTTACGCGCACGAGCGCCGGTGGTGGGCACTCCCATGCATGCTCTTATTATTTTAAATCTTAATAATACAAATAATTAAATTATAATTTAGCCATTAAATAAGAAAAAAAATATTTATTTATTTATTTTTCTACATATATATATATATATATATATATATATATATATATATAATATTAACCTCCCTTTACCAAACAAGCTGTACCCCTTAATACAGACCATAATCATTTCATGCACAATAGTAAAAATAATAAACATATTTGAAAATAATAATAATAATAATATATAAGATATTTTGATGATTAAAAAAGAGCTTTTTTATTTATGGAAATTATTTATTTTAATATATGTGACAACCATATTTTTTGTGTAATTATAAAAGCGAGTATTTGGTATTGGGAGAGCATGAACCGGTCGGACACCGGCCCGACCAAGCCAGTTGTGAATGTTTTCATTCAATTTTGTCCCGCAGTCTTATCTTCTCTTTGACTCGGGTTGGTCGGTCGGCCCTCACACTCACACGCCCGACAGCTATTATGAGTTTTTTCCCCCTTAAATTCATTTTCTTTTTTAAACGTAAAAAAATTAATAATTATTATACTATTTGAATCATATAATAATTTTTTTTTGTTAAAAATATATTTTTTCGAGTTGGGGGAAGTTTTTAACCTCTCCGTAACCTTCGAAATTCGGCGGCATTCGAATAAAGTAATACATGCATGAACCGAGATCACATCTGAATGAGAGCGATCTTGAAAATAGAATGTGTGAGATCCCACATCGGTTAGAGAAGAGAACGAAACATTCTTTATAAGGGTGTGAAAGTTTATCTCTAGCCGACCCGTTTTAAAAACCTTGAAGGGAAGCGTGAAAGGAAAAGTCCAAAGAGAACAATATCTTCTAGCGGTGGGCTTGGGCTATTACAAATGGTATCAGAGCCAGACACTGTGCGATGTGTCTGCGAAAAGACTGAGTGCTGAAAGAGGTTGGACATGAGGTGGTGTGACAACAAGGATGCTGGATCCCGAAGTGGAGTGGATTGGGAGGGAGGGGAGGTCCTATATCAACTGGAGAAGGGAATGAGTGTCAGCGAGAACGCTAATTTTTACCTTTAACGTTAATATTAAATGATAATATTATATAGTTTTCATTAACGTTAATTTTTACCTTAAAAGGAAAAGGTAAAAGCAAAATGTTGGGGAGTAATAATGAAAGGCGCAGAGGTAATTAAAATTAAAGTGAATAATTAGCAATAATTATGTTGTTATAAGATAATAATAATAATAATAAGCATTGATTAATTAAAATTGCATGCTTATTTCTCCATTTTAGGGAACAAAATCAATAACTAAATTGAATGCAAATTGATTTTTGTTCATTTTTTTCCAAACATGCCTTTAATTTCTCCCAACCATATTTGTAGCTATTTAACAAGGAAAATTAATTTAATTAATTTTTTTGAGTAATTAATATAGTTTAATTTACATAATTTAAAGACGTTGGATAATAAATGTGACGTTCGAGTAAATGAGGGGTACATGAATAAACTAAGAATCATCTGAATTAGAGAGATTCTGATTGAGAAATACTCAAAAGAATTGAAAGTCGCTACGTATACGAACAATGTGCACCTTATTTTTCGGTGGCTCAATCATAATTAAGCATGTTTTGCTTAGAGAAATCTATGTTCGGTGACCTCTTTGAAATTTTTCTAAGATGCATGTGAGTTAGGACAAGACATGCTGGAAGGACTTGTGTTGGTTTGTGAGAATAGTTTTCACTCTTAGAACCGCAGAGCTAGTAATGTGACCATGTCGCAGGAAAATATCAGAGCCATCAGATGCTGAATCTGGACTCCGAATTGTAGAGATATAGAGTTAGAATAATAATAGACTAAGGTTAGGGTTAGGTCCAGGGTTAGGGTTAGGATTAGGGTTAGGGTTAGGGTTAGGGTTTGGTAGTTTATTTGCGATCATAATCCCAAGCCCTGATGTGTCTCTAACATGACATTTCACGTATTTCTTTTCGAGATACAGATCGATATCAATATTTTCATCGTTATATCAGTCGTATACCGACAAGGTGCACCTTCTTTTTCAGTGGCTCAATCATAATTAAACATGTTTTGCGTAGAGAAATTCTATGTTTGGTGACCTCTTTGAAATTTTTCTAAGATGCACATGAGTTAGGACAAAACATTCTGGAAGGACTCGTGTTGGTTTGTGAGAATAGTTTTCACTCTTAGAACCGAGGAGTAAGTAACGTGACCATGTCGCAGGAAAATATCAGAGCTATCAGATGCTGAATCTAGACTCCGAGTCCTAGAGATATAGAGTTAGAATAATAATAGGCTAAGGTTAGGGTTTGGTAGTTTATTTGCAATCATAATCTCGAGCCCTGATGTGTCTCTAACACGACATTTCACGTATCTCTTTTCGAGATACTGATCGATATCAATATTTTCATCATTATCTTCGTAAGATCAAAAAAACTTCAAACGTCCTTAACACCTCAAATACGATTCCCGATCCACTTAGAATCATAATAATAATAGGTTAGGGTTAGGGTTCGGGTTCGGTACTTTGCAACTATAATTCGAAGCACGTAATGGGCATTTGTTAGTGGTTTTTTCATGGCCTTCTCTTTCATTCTTTATCTTACCCTAAAGTGATAGGGACATGGTAAGGACGTCCAATAAGCAATGGAGTAAGCAAGGCATTGGCTAGGTTCACTGGCCGACAAGTTAAGGGCAGCTACTAGAACATGTTTGGATGATGTCTTAGACAAAGAATTAGACGTATGAACCAACGAACCCTAAATGAGACCACATGATCCCCTTTTGGGACTATTGGTTGGAATGTTATATAGAGAAGCTTTCGTTTCGTGCTCTTTATAATGATTCATACTCGAGCAACATCGAACATCTTTTGACGCGTTTAGGTTAAGCTGAGGTAAAGTTATTATAAATTTACGTGGGAGTTTGTGTTTTATCGTGGCAAAAAGAGATGGTTAGGTCGGCGTTTTCGTATTTAAGAGTTGAGTTTGGGAGAAAAAGACAAAAGGAATTGTGTTGTTTGGTTCCGTTTAATTGTTTTAAAGAATTGGGTTTGTTTTAACGTCATTTTCTCTATAATGGGTTTCATTTACAATTTTCATAACTTAGCTTAAGTGGGGCGGGGGTGAGGACGGGGACTATAATTCCGTAACAGGGAAAAATATTCTCCACTCCCTCCCCATTCCCTGTCTAAACGAGGAATTCCCTCCTCCTTCAGGGTGGTTCCTCGACCCCGCGGATAAAATGGATCCCTAGGTGATAGTAATAGTTATAAACTTAATTTTCAAAGTTTAAAAACAAAATAGTCATGTCTCTAAAACGTTATGGGTAGCTGCAATTTGCAAGCCACCGACTATTATGTTTTTATTAAGAAACCCTAATCTCCGAATAAATGGTACTTCTCTTTCTCGAGCTCGTCTAAGGCGTATAATACAGTTTTTGTTTGTGGGTTATGGCTCTCGTCACAACCATCTATTTGGTAGTGGAAGAAGATAAGTGTGAGTATCTCTCCTCGAATATGTCATCAAAACCAAAATGGACTTTTTTTTTTTTTTTGTTTTTACTTTATACGTTCGTATCTTTCTGAAAGATTTGTCCTATCACGTCAATATTCACGACAAATAATTCTAATGTGAGAACTAATTGAAGCGTAATTATAATAGAAGCACTAAAAAAATTTACTAAATCGTCAATTTCTTAGCTAAATAATGTCGATTTTCGTCTCCCGAAAAAAATATGAATTAATTTAGTATGACATGACCAATAGATTGTAATTTATCCTTTTTTTCTCAATCTCGAACAGTTTTCTACACATAATTAGAGACACGGGGTAGAGTGAGACTAGAAACCCTTCCTTCTTCTCGTTCTCACCTCCTATTTCAACTCTCTCATCCCCTAGAAAATTTCATTCATTTTTGCATGATCAAAGTGGAGATACTCTATGGAGAATTCACGAATAT